AACACAACCCACGGCCCAAGCCTGTGACGTGTCGTGTCATGCCACGAGCCTGGGAGGGGCGGGCTATAAGCCATGCCATGGGCAGGGGCCATGCCGGGCCTTAGGCGTGGGCCGAACTGGGATAGACTAGTTTTTTTGTATTTTTTTGACATTTTTTTATTTTTTTTATTTCTTTGTTAAGTAAAACTAAAATATTTGACTTTCCTTTGGGAACTATTTGAAAAAATAAGAAATCTAACAAAGAAATGAAAAAAAAATGCTTAACCAAATAAGAAGTCAAAGAGAAGACTCAAAGTGAATAACAATTTGGAAGAAAAATAGGAATTTTATTTTATTTAAATTTGAATGATACAAAGCATACAATGGTTGGATGAATGAAATATGAAAACTGGAAAAATAGAATAAATTAATAAAATATAAAAATACAAAATGGTTACAAATTGAAAATAAAAAATATCAAATAAATTAAATAAAATTAAAACAAAATTTACAATAATTTGAAAAAAAAATGCTATACAACTATTGAGTATACAAAAAATATTACCTTCATCATTTTCTCCTATTGTTCTTGACGTTGATCATCTGCTTCAAGTGAAACATCAGGTGTAGTGACATGCCCTCCTTTGTTTTGTAATTTATCTTCAACATCCAGTCAATCTTTAAAACAAATGCACATTTCTAGACTTTCATCATTTATACAACTTCTCTTGTCGCCCAACACCCTAGTACTTACACTAAAACAAGACTCCGATGAAACTGTAGACACCAGAGGGGTTAGTAGATCACATGCCATAACGGCAAGAACTGGATAATTTTTTACATATTCACTCTACCAGACTAAAATATCAAAATTATTTGTTCCCTCCAAGGTGAAAAAAGAATCACCTAAAGTAGAAAAATTTGTTTGTAAATAAAAATTAAGTCTAATAAATGAACTTGTTGTCGAGGCAGTGGATTTATGCCTCTTAATAAATAAAAAAAGTTTTTCTCTTCCACTACTAGACTCAAGTTCAAAAGTGGCAGCTGTACAAGTTGTACAATTTTTATTAATCCGTGTTACTTCATATTCATATAAACTATACATTTCAAATAATAAATTATGAATTTCTTCTTTTTCATTTCCAATTTCAATATTCATATTTTCACAATATGTTTCAAGTAAAAGATCTAAACCATCTTTCCTAATCCTAGAATCTAATATTGTAGCTAAGCAATAAAGAGGAGAAATGTTCTCCCAATACTTTTTAAATTTATTTCCCATTATTTCAACAATACTTTTAACTTATGGATTTCTCTATAATTTGCAAAACAATCACTAATTATCATTAATTGATAAACAAAATTACAACTAATTGGATAATAAATACCCGATAATTTATTAGTTTCATCATAAAAATGTTTAAAAAATCTCTACAAATTGTCATTTCCTAGTCTTCCTCAAATATAATATCAGTAGATATTTTTGCACTATAAAAATCACTAAGAATTTGTTTGTGAGAAATAGAAATTTCTAACATAACATAGGTAAAATTCCATCTATGTTTAACATCTAATATAAAATGTTTATATTTTAAACCATAATTTTGACATAAATATTTAAATTCTTGTTTTCTTGCTCCAGAACTTTTAATATATATAATACAATTTCTTATTTTAGAAATATGAGTAGAAATAAGATTTAAAGCATCCTAAATACATAAATTTAAGATGTAATATGCACATTTGATATGAAATAACTTACCATTTAAACATGGTTTAATTGAAATTTCAAAATATTTATTGCTGAATCATTATTACTAGCATTAAGGGTGGGGTGTTCAAATTCGATTGATAAACCAAAAACCAAACCAAATAAGCTAATCGGTTAATTCGGCTATCAGTTTGGTACGATTTTTATTCAAAACAAAAATTAGTTTTCGGTTTTAGTTCAATTTGACTGAAATTTTCAACCGAACCGAAAATCGAATTAATGTTGTTATTTAGTTAAGTATATTAAATATTAAAGTTTTATTTAATACTTTATACTAATTAATTATTCCATTTTCCAATGAACAATTAATAATAGTTAATTAAAACCTAGACTCATTATTAATTGTTCTTTAATCATTAATTACTTTTGAAAATGGCCAATTTTCCAATTCTCCATTGGCATAGGGCTTTGGGCCTATTTTAACTTTTAATTAATAATAGCTAATTAATTAAAATCATTGGGCTTTGGGGTCATTCTAACTTTTAATTAATTAATTAAAACCATTGGGTTTTGAGTAGGGGTGTCCACGGTTCGATTAACCGAACCATAGCACTTTTTTGTAAACTGAACTGGTGGTATCGGTTTTTCCAATTGTCCAAACCGAAACCGGTTAACCGATCCGTCGGTTTTGGTTTTTGACTAGTTTGATTCTTTGGTTTTTTGGTTTTCTTATATTTATAATATATTATACAAATATATATGAAATATTATGTTATAAATAATAAATGATAYATAATATATTGTAAATATTTGAAAAATATATAATATATTTATAAATAGATCACTATAAATATAATATAAGTATATATTTATATTTATAATGAATATATATTTATATATAATACATAGAAAATATGTGACATATATTAAAAATATATAAAATATACATAAAAATATATATACCGGTCGGTTTGGTTAACCGTCGTTTTTTTGTAGGTTAACCGAAAACCAAACTGGTCCTTTGGTTTTCCAAAAATCCCGAACCAATCAGTTCGGTTCGGTTTTTCGATTTTTCATGGACACCCCTAGTTTTGGGTCCATTTTAACTTTTCATTAATAACACTTATTAAATGCTTGCCATTTATGTGGAACCAAGGTCCAATCGAACCAACCCAACTGAATTCGGTTAGGGCCAATTCAATTCAATTAGAGGAAATGGTAAAACTAAATAGTCAGTAAGATCCTCAATTTGAACCGAATAGAACCGAATCAACCGATTGTACAACCCCTAACTAGCATTATCAAAACTAATAGAAAATAATTTATTGTCAATTCCATAAACATGTAAAGTATTCAAACCTAATAAAACTTAAAATTCTTTTATTTAAAAGTCAATTTTCATCGATAAAATGGCAGGTAACACAAATATAACTTATGTTAAATTTAGAAGTCCAGATATCAAAAGTAATTGCAACTTTAAAATTAATATTTGATAACATATAAATTAAATCTTATTTATATGAATAAAAAAAATTAAAGGATCTTAATAGTATTCGTAGCTTTAAATTGTGTAACCATTTTTCAAGTTTATTATCTTCTGTTAACAAAAATGATTGTTCAGCATGTACAATGTATTTTGTTAATTCTTGCCTCATTTTGTCTTGAGAATATTTAAAAGTACCAACCCCCCTAATTTGTGTTTGTATTGTTTCTCTCCCTTCTTCTTCTTCTTCTTCTTCTTCTTCTTCTCATGGGTGAATAAATGTCTGCCCAAATGGCCAATACCACCCTTGCTACAATAGCTAAAGTCTTTTCTACACTATTGGCAAATAGCTCTTTTTCCCTTCCCCTGAACCTCCTTTACTTTAAATATTTTTCAAACCGAGCTAATCAACTTAGTGGCCTTCTTTTTATTTTCCCTAGTATCAATACTAGGGGTGGAAGTTCCGTCAAAATCAATAGCATCCATATCAGTGCTAATACTACCATGCTACGACTGAATATCGTCGACATTGAACATGCTGGGGAATTAGTTTCAAGAGGAGCCAATCACTTTTTTAATTCTAAAAAAATAAAAATTAATTTAATTATCTTACCCGAATTGCTAGTTCAGAATCCCAATTTGATTTCAACAGTTTAACTCCAAGAGTCCAAGCCTCCCAAATTGCTAAATTGAGATACTTGAGCTATTGAGCAAGTATTCTTCTTGTTGAAACTTCAATAAAGTTGAGAATTGAAAAATCAAAGAATATACGAGAGATTGAGACTTGAGAGAGTATGAGAATTAAAAAAGAGATTAAGAAATTTGTTAAATTGGTGTGATGAGAATAGTAGAGGATAGAGCTATTTATAAGAATTGAAAATAATTCAATTACCCAAAATACCATAAAAACTAACCGTTTTTTAGTTGTTATGAAAGATATTCTGATCATTGTAAAGTTATTTATCACTCTACCCAAAATGTCTCCCAAACTAGCTACATTCTTTCTCCCCAAAATCAAAATACATAAATACCCCCTATATAATTGTTTATAACTGTTAGAAGTATTTATGTAAAAAAAAAATCTCAAAAAGCACAAATAGCACAAATAGCACAACACGCACAATCACGTCGTACTGTACGAGCCCATAGACCTAGAACCCCAGGCCCAATATGGCCCGGACCATCCGGGCCTGGCACGGCCCATGTGCCGTCTGCTATGTCATGCCGGGCCGGTCCAAATTTGGGCCCGATTTAACCTCTATTTTCAACGAAAAAAAGAGCCATTGCATCTATGATTCGGATTTAATCCTCACTCCTCAGTTAGCACACTTAACACCAACGCCACACACATTGCAGCCGTGAAAACATATCCATAACACAATTAACACCAACGTCACACACATTGCAGCCGTGAAAAGCATATTTGGATTCGAATTCCGTTGCACTATCTCTCGAATTAATGAGATGTTCTTGAATGATTTTGTTTTATAAGAAGCGGGATGATGTAATTCACTGGAAGATGTTTCTAATAATGGATGAATGTATCGGGAGGTTAATGTGAATATGTAATTAAGTGAGGAGTAAATATAATTTTTTTAAAGAAAAATCGAATTCATTTAACAACAATAGTTGAGGGAACAACTTTCACGACTTTCACAAGAGTCAAAAAAAATATATATATATATATATATATATATATAACTGGCGGCAGTAAATACAAATATACAAATTAATAAAAGAATAATTAATCATTTTTTACAAGGGATTGGGATGAATTCAGACTCAGAAATTAATTAGATTTTTTTTCTCTTTTTTTTTTTTTCAAGTATGCAGTCGCTTGTCAAAAACAGCGAGAAGAAATAAGCTACCTTTTTTGCACCTCCATTCATGGAGCACTCAAGTGAGAAGTGAGATCAAGGAAGGCGTCTTCGTTGCACGGAATTATAAGGCCGCCCATCCGATGATCAAATCCAAATTCTTCTTCAGCCCGAATGAGTAGGTCCTGGAATAACGGATGCTCCAAGTAAGATATTGGAACCACGAACCGCTTCTTCTGGCTCTCTCCGATGTATACAGCAAAATGGCCTCTGGGGACATCTTTGACGGTTGTTGATGGAAGTAGTGCTGGGTGTCTAGTGAGACGAAGAGAACATTCTCGAATGATTTCTTTGCTATGGAGAACCACCCGACGCAAATGGAGGCCCATTTTCTTCTAGATATATAGAAGACTTCTATAAATCGGGTCAACAAAATCTTTGACACTTGAAAACGATGGTGGATGTTTGGAGTTGTGGAATGAGTGTGGCTCTCCAAGTGTTTGTATATACAATATATATATATATATACGTGGTGAGAGGTAGCTAGACAAAGGAGTTTGTCATTGCATGTGTAATGTTTTTTTTTTTTTTTTAATTTTTAATGGTATTATAAAGTACACATTATGGATGAGGGACACGGCCTCACGGGGACAGAGGAGAGCAGGGTGTAAGTGGGGTCCACCTATCTTAACACCTGTAATTACACGGATTTGATCCTGTGCTTCATTAAGGATGCCAAATGTCCAGCTAAGCTATAGAGTCATCAATCAACGCATGTGTAGTGTTGGTTTTAACAAATAAATATGTCGCTTCCATTACTTAATTCATGTAACATCCCTTGTGTAGATAGTTGTAAGCTTAGTGCCAACCGTTTTCAACAGACAAAGGATTAAGAGTGCAACTTGCAGACACCTGCATTGGGCATTTGTTAATTTTTCAAGGGGTTCACCTGAGGGCGGCGGGCATATATATATAGGACTGCAAATGTACGGGCCGGACCAAATTGGATATATATCCAATTTTAATTTGTTATTATTCAGATTCAGATTCAGATTCAGATTCGGATTCGGATTCGGATTCGGATTCGGATTAAATTTAGATGGATATTATTAATAAATTAAACTAAACGTTGTAAGAATATTTTATATTATTATTAATAAAAGGGTAAATTATATATAGGAACTTTGTATAGTACTTTGGGGGTAGTGACATAGGTATTCTAAACTTTTAATTGCAACTCTTTAGTAATTGAACTCCTAAAAAAAATACTTGAATTCATTATATAATATTAAAAATATTCTTTTTGTATATTTTTTAAATCATTTTACAGAGTAAAATCATCATCAAATAATGCTATTATTAGTAAATTTAAATATATTATTTGCTATTCATGTGAAAATGTCATCGTGGGGAAATGTTTGATTACTTGAATGTTTAATTAATGGAATACTAATAGATAGACCCAAGTGTCTATTTTTAAGAATTTAGAATACTCAAATATCACAATTGAAAGTTCAAAATACTTATCTCTCACTACCCCGAAGTAGAAAATGCCTATATGTAATTTATTCTTGATAAAATGAACCAAAAAAATGAATTTAATATTGCGTATTATAAATAAAATGATCACGACTTACACTTAAACCCATGAATGGTAAATATGAAACATCCAAATTGACTTTATGAATATATATGGTAAATATATATATATATATATATATATATATAATAAATGTATATATCTTTAGATTCTCCTTCATCCATTGGTGATTTGTCCTTTTCGTTTTTTCATTTGCAGAAGATTTCTAGATCTTCCTTCATCCATTATCTTATTTTATTCTCTTGAAAAATTGAAAAAAAATAATAATAATAATTGTATGTATCTAAACATTAACGGTAACGGGTCTATTTTTCCTGGCACACTTTCTAAATATGAATGGGTCAAATTATATCACATTGGGAATTTGGGACATTCGAATTTAATGATGCTAATATCAGGCCTAACAGCCCGGGCCCAATGCAATGGCGATTGTTCAATTCAAATGGACCAAATGCAATGGAGACTGTAATTACATCAATTATGTCAGCTCCCTGCATGTGAGTCATGTCATGCATTATGCATGCTAAGACAACCCATTTACAGAGACTACAGAGCGGATTCCCCCTGGGCCTCGTACATTTTTTTATCCCCGTTAGGAGGAAAGTCTGACACGAATTGCGAATTGGTTTCACACTCTCACATACATTTGGGTTATGACCCATGACCCATGTAGGATCGGTGCATTGCACTTTGGGCGGAAGCATGAAATAGTGTGATACGCTTTTTTATCAGAATGAACCACAAGAAGTCTGTGGTAAGTACTTACTTGGTTAAGCACACGGCCCAAAACACAAAGAGAAGAGGCTTGTCTATATGCCCTTTACTTTTAGAATTCAGAGGGGATTTGACACCAAACATATTCACCAACCCATGCCCATCTATCAATCCAGTTCCAGGGGGCGCCATCCACCCATCAAATCAAGTAGTTCCTTGCCAGGCTGTTTCGATTTGATAGTGTATAGCTCGTTGCAACAAATATTATGCTATAATGCGACCATTCCGAATATCTTGATACCGGATTTGGAGGCAAAACCATGTGGATTGTGGAGCACGTCCCCTAGTACTATCGGCCCCTGCAACTGTCTCTTCATTACTATTCACTCTCATCAGTCAGTACTCAGTAATTGAGAGGATGAATTGTCCTTCCACCCTACTTCTTTCCTCTCTATATATACATGCCTTGTGCAAGCTGAGCTGCCATCCTTCTCTCAAAGCCCAAAGCCTTTCTTTCACACACACTTGATAAAAACTCTTCCCTCGCAACCGAGTGCTCTTGTTCACATTCTCGATCAAAACCCAAATAGAAGCCAAGCATGGGTTTTCGTCTGCCTCGGATGGGTCATGCTAAGAGGTTTCTGCAATGGTCTAGTCTGACTACAGATGAAATGACTTCAGCGGCCCGAACCGGGAGTGTCCCAAAAGGCCATATCGCCATTTATGTTGGAGAAACCCAGAACCAGAAGAAGCGGTTCGTGATTCCCATTTCCTATTTGAAGCATCCGTCGTTCCAAGACCTGCTAAATCGGGCTGAAGAAGAATTTGGCTTCCATCATCCAATGGGCGGTCTTACAATTCCCTGCCGAGAAGATGTCTTCATTAGCCTCGCATCTCGTTTGAAAGGCTTATGAGGGAGACGAGAAAGCAAAATCTACAATTTTGTAATCAGTGAATAACCATTTTCATGTACATAGATTTTTTTTTTTTTTTTCCATTCCAAGGTCGAGAAAAAGATGCCCTTGATCGTATCATTGAATAGAATTTTCTCTTCTTCTCTTTCTACATTCAAATTCTCACCTACTTTGAACCCTATTATTATTCTCCGTATGTCTTTCTCTTGGTTTTTCTTTTTTTTTTCTTCTTGTTTTTTTTCTTAATTGCCAAACCTGACTAAATTAATGCGTTTGTTAAATAAACCACATGGCTGGAACAGTTAATAATTAATACAGCTGGAAAAATTGCGGACTCTAAGAGTATAAATACAAATATGCAGAGTGCAAACCTTGTATTATTTTGTATATATTTGCAGGTATCTCTCAGCATGCAATCCTTCTAACATATATCGATCGGTGCAAGGTGAACTAACGCGTCACATAGAGAGAGTCCTATTGACACGTGGAATGTGAACAGAATAAGTTCTCTCTCTATAGAAGGAGCAATTTTGCCATGTACACCATCGGATAAACCTATAAATACCCTTGTTAGGTATTTTAATTCAAAACAAAAATAAGTTTTCAGCAATACTTAAAAGACATTGGCAAGCCTTGCATACATACACTGCTGACTGATGACTGTTGGTATCAACCAGCAGATACCAGTAATGAGGTACAAATCTTGTTCCAAAACTTAGGAGTTCGGCTTCTTTTAGTGAAATATCTCAGTATTTATGTGATTTATTTCATAGCTTTTATATTCTTCTATTGGGAATATGTTTTATTTCATAGCTTTTATATTCTTGTTCTAAAACTTAGGAGTTCGGCTCTTTATATCCTTGTATTGGGAATATTTTCGTACTTATATAATATTTTTATATTTATGTGTTTTATTTTAGAGAGAATGATTAAGCCGGTCTTCCCAACCGTTTAAATTTCATGGACGGGACCAAATTTTGTAGCATTCAGCTGGTGTGGACGGGACACCCTAATATAGCGTGGACAGGTCTTGTCTCTTGTGCACATCCTAATTTCTCATTTACTATAAAATTTTATGGTTGGGGACCGTTCATATTTGATTTTTGATCCCCTATTTCACATTTTTCCTAAAAGGCTATCCTATTGTTTATTTCACATTTTTAATATTTTTGTTAATAAAATATTAATTATTTTACTTAATTTTTAAAATTTTAATGTTTTATCAATAAAATTATATTTAAAATATATTTTTTAAAATTTTAATTATTTTACTATTGTTTTTATAAAAAATTAATATTTATTGGTTAATATCAATTCATTGATGCATTTTTCAATATATTTATCATATAAAATGCAAAAATTAGATATTTATGATTAACTATGTAGATCAAGGTTTTCGAACCGCCGTTGACCCGGACGGTCATACCGTTCAACCCGGGAACCGTCCAAGCAAGCGGTTCCATTTTACCCCTAAACCCGGTTTTTGGCTAAAACCGTTGAAAAAGTCATAACGGGTCAATGGTTTTTTACCATTTTTTATTTTTAATTTTTTAATTTGTTTGTCATAATGGGTCATCCATTCGAATCGGACGATCGGACCATCGACCCGAAAACCAGTGGCCAGAACAATTCCGTTTCCAAGTCATTTTTTAAAATGTTGGTGTAGATCATTCATAAAATGTACATGTCAGTGTAGATACATGGCCATGAGATACATGGCCAAAACACTACAAAATGCCACTATGGGTTTGGATTAGCCCAGTCCACACAGTTTGTCCACAGTTCAAAAAAACTATGGACTCTGGTGTGGTGTGGATTGATCCTTGTCACAGGGTGTGGTGTGGACCAATCCACACCCACCAATTTCTCATCCACACTACAGAACACCCCCTAAATGAATCCTGACTAGACTTGTTCATGGGTCGAGCCGAGTCAGGCTCAGACTGGGCTTTTACTCTTCATAAACATGATTTTGTTAGGCCCGACCAACGGGCCTACAACATGGACCCGAGCCCGAAGCCCGACCTAACAGAAGAAAAAACTCACCGTCGGTGACTATGTTCGCCGGTGCTGAGTTCACGTCTATGAGAGAGAGAGAGAGAGAGGATTCACCGCCGCCACCAGTGTTGAGTTTGTGGTGAGATGCGATTTTGATGGTGAGAAGTGGAGTCAGTTCGTGTTTGAGAGAGAGAGAGGACTCATCGCCGCCGGTGCCTGTGTTCGCCGCCTCGTTGGTGTCTGAGATTTGAAAGAAGTGAGAAGAGGAACGAGAGAGAGAGAAAGAGAGAGAGAGAAGACTCACCGCCGATCTGTCGGAGTTGTTGCGTCGGTGAATGTTTGTCGGTTTTGCGGCTGCTTGAGAGTGTGAGGAGGATGTGAAGAGAAGAGAGGTTTGGCACTGGGCAGTTCAGCTAACTGGAAAAGTGGAAAGAGATGAATGAGAAGGGTTACTTAGAATATTAGGGTTTTTGGGTTTAGTCTATAGGTCGTGCCGAGCTATTTTGGCAAATCCCGAGCCCAGTTCAAATTTATTGTAGGCCGAGCTTTTTAGCCCATGGACTCATTTACGTATTCAAACCTGTTCGGGGCCAAGCCGGGTTGGGCCACCCGACCTATGAACAGGTCTAATCCTGACCGTAGATTAATGCCTTATCGTTCAGGAAGATAAATCCTAACCGTAGATTAATGGCAGATATTCCCAATACAAGATTGGGGGAGGCTGTTGGAAATTGGGACAATGTGAACGTATATCGAAGCCGAACTTAAAACTTAGTTGAGTGGCCATTAATACACTTGGAATCAAGCATATACCTGGATTAATGTCCCACTTTAACCTTAACTGAAATCCCTCTTAGACTTATTAACCAAACCTTTCTTCCGATTTGACATCCCTTTTTTAATAGTAGGGCGCATTCCTAGATGAATACCCATATTTATAAAATTTTAGCCCTATTTTTTGCCCCTTTTTATAAGCCAAAACATTGTTTTCTTACTCGCTGCCAAAGGAAAAAACAATGACAATTCTGGTACGGCTCAGATTTGTTACCCATAATACCATGGTATATTACAATTATACGTTAAGAATATCTCTCTGCCGTGGTACCTAATTCATCTTATACAAAAGAGAGTTTGTTACACCGACACCGACAATGAGCTACAAGGATGGAAAAATTAAAAGGAATGGTGTTAATGCTTGTGAATTGTAAAAAACTGATTTTCTGGTAAAGCTATTTTAGGTAGCTTTTCTAAAGCAGCTCAGACAATACAGATCAATCAATGGAAAAGACCTATCAAATGGGACCAAGTTCCTGAATTTGGACTTCGTTCCTCAGAGCGCATTTCACATCAACCTTGCAGCATATTACATTCATCCATTGGGAACATCTCTCTATAAGTGCTGCTGCAAATTCTGTGAGATTGGTGTGAGGAGCAAATCCACATCCAAATACATCCCACCCCAGTAGAAAGTTAGAAACTAGAAATTAATAGGATAGACACAATACAAGTTGGTTTTTAATTACATGGGCCATTGTTTAATTGTCTACAGCATTATATCGCTATAAGTTCTAGATGAATGAATTAGATGAGGGCTTTCCAAAGTAATCGTGTCTAGACTCTAACGCAGGAGAATAACTACATGTCAACATGTCTTGCTAAAAGACCTTAGTAATGACTGCCTTTTATTTTATTTTGTGAATTGGGATTTACTCCAAACAGCACTTACAGCCACACATTATAAACATCTTCTCTAATTACATGAGAAAATATTCTTTGATACACGATTAGGATGTGTAGTGAAGTTGGTGTGAGAAGCGGTTTATGAGACTCTTATTATTTAAATCCAACTTTAACCTGTAATTTTGATTAACCCGCTTGAATGTTCAAGAAGCACTTTAGCCTTTACCTAATGTCAGATATGGGGCATTATCATTGATTCCACAGCCCGCTAAAACAATCATTGTGTTCAGCTAATCTGAATTAGTAAATAACAATCCCTTAAAACGTTATTTCACAGAAGATCGATCTCAGCTTCAAAACCTACTTTGACTCGCGTTATTATTAAGTATATAGAATGCTAAAGCTTTTTTTAGATGTCCCTAATACAAAAAGCATATGGCTCTTTTAACTTGCATTAGGATAAAAAAGGATATTCCCCTTCAATTAGACCTGTTTATGGGCCAGGTAGTTCAGGGCTGCCCATTTTAAGTTGGTCTTGAACATAAATTTAAGATGCGGGCTCAACTTCAGGTTCAAACATTAGGTCCAACTTTATTCAAGTCAGACTCAGGCTTTTCAAAAAAATCTAATCCAAGCACTTGATAATATATTATATAACAAAAAAATATATTTCATATAATAAACACATACCCACACAATTATATATATATATATAGTGAGATCCTTCATTATTTTTTGATTTTCTTGTTTTTAATATAAATAAATCATTTTTATTGAATAAAAAAACTTTTTTTAAATTTTCTAACTAGACTTTAGACTCAGGCATGGGCTTCGAACTTTATATGAAAGCCAAATTTAAGCTCAAGACCTAAGCCCAATAATCAGGTCGGGCTCAGGTTCGAACCTAAATATATTCTATTTATAAAGACGAAGCCCAGCAGAAGGCAGAACCTGATCAGGCCCGGCCCTTGAGCAAGTATAATCGCAATTCACAAAATGCCTCTGGACCACAGCACTCTGATTATTTATGTCCGAAGTCACTCTTCAATTTCAGCTTATACTCCAACAAGCCGGATAAAGCTCCTTACCGTGTCACCACTCAGCAGAGAGTAATTAATTGCTTGTGGTAAGATCCAAGAAATATTGTGTCATGTCATGTTACACCAAAATTACGTATGAATTCCTTTAGGCCACGTTTGTTTGGGGTAAAAAATCGAACTGGGGTAAACTTTGTACCCCAGTTCGATTTTCCACATGTTTGGAAAGCGTATAGTTTTATATTTATGTAAATTGATTTTTGAATTTTTTTTACATCGACAATCGATGTAAAATATACATCAAAATTATTGGTGTAAACCAGGGCGGTAGTGGCACTGGCATCTCTCTCCCTCTCTCTCTCTCTCTTCTTCTTCTTCTTCCCCCTTTTTTTTTCTCTCTGTTCCGTCACCAGCGCTGCAACCAGAGATCTGAACCCA